GAAAAACCCTGTGAGTTTCCTTCAGCTAATGGGGCTAACGTTAGCTTAATTAGCTAGCAATGGAAAATCTACGTGCGACTTCTTAATTCAGCCGGTAAATTGAAAAGTCACCAATAAATATGTGAAGCAGTTGTGTTAACATCTACTTAAAGGATCAATTTTTTTTTATTTACAGAGGTAAATCTGCGTCTTTATGTTTTGCTAGAAACTCTGAGAGAGCAACAATAGCTAAGCAAAATGTCAGCTAACAAAGAGTAAATGAATGGAAGGAAATATAATTGTTTATTTCCTGTTTACTTTAATACTGTGTCATTCCAGCGAAAGGATCGGTAGCATCAAGTTATGGTAATTAAAACCTACAAAGGAAATGCACTTTGACGTAATATCCAAATATGAACACATCAGGTCGATAGGTTTGTCTCTGTATCTGGAATGATCATTAGTCAGTATCCAAAAACTATTAGCCTACGCAGACACACACACACACACACATACACATACACATACACATACACACTGCAGATAAACTCAGAGACATACTCGCAGACTGAGTCATAAAGCACCAGAGGACACTGAGGAAGAAGGTGTGACGGTATTTCCACACACAAATTATCTGGTAGGAAGGACTCTGAACAACACGCTATATTTTATTCCAATGAAGGTATTTGTTGTTAAAATACCTGCATTTTTTACAACTAAAATAATAAATGTGCAGTATTAACAAACATTAAAAACAGCCCAGACACAAACAAACACTTCCAGCCATGTTTGAGGATTGTGTTTGTGTACATCATCCCCTGAGTGTTTGTTGACAGGCGTTAGCGTCTTTGCTGAGAGACTGATAGAGTATTGTATCTGCCCAGCAGGTCACAGGGACACACCCAACTGCTCCATTCTCTTCAGTGTGTCTGTCGGACCCTGTTACATTAATCATCTGTCTGTCTGCCGGCCACTGTCTGTCTGTATCTACACTGGCTAAGGTTATAATAACTACAAATAAGACGTTTTTCTTCTCTGTTCAAACTAGAATGAGACATTGTCCTCCTTATTTGGGGATTTATTTGTACATATATAAAATAAATAGATGTATTATTAATGAAAAGGTTAGTTTACCCACATTTATTTCTAGCCATGCAGTTGGTTTGGTTTGATGTGGACTGGTTTTAATATACTTCTTGCTCCATTATAATACAATGGAGACAAGTGCTCTTTCTCTTCATTGTGCACACTGTTCATGTCCTTGTACTTGCATTCATTACATTTGACACTTTACTACATTTTTGCAAAAAGATATGAAATTTTTTACTGAACTGTTTGAGTATTCTTGATGCTCACTACATTGAAATTAAACATATAACTTCCTGTTTAGTCTGATTACCCAAAGATCTTAAGGTGAGCAGTTTTTGCATAGGACTATTTCTTCATGAGGTAGTCGTGATAGTAGTGAATTATATAGTGGTAATAGATTATAATGTTCTTTTATTGAATTATTGCTGAGTGTTCCCCAAGAGACAGAAAAGTCAAAATGTGGGAACATAAAATCGAAACTATGTTCGTTAATAGATGATAGTAAGAGGACGTTGTGTTTTTCAATCCTTTGAAGTTTTTTCCTGAGCTACAGTCTGCACATGTCTGGATCCTATCTAAAATCCCACAAGATGCAAAGCTGTGAGACATAAAGGTGAATGGCTGCTGAAACTCCAATGGCCTGATGAGGTTATATCTGATGGGCCCAATTAGGGCTTGATTAGAGGTTGAGCAGACTGACGTAATGAAGTGATCAGACACGTTTAATTCAAGCAGAAATTCCTGTGTGTATGAGCAAGGGCATGCCTAAATGTTTATTTTAAGGACAAATCATTTTCCAGTTCCAAATAACTAAACCTTCTCTTTACTTCATTCTTCTTTAGGAAAAGAAACAGTCAAGCATCTCACTTCAGGGCTCATCCTGTTTCAGTTTCCTCAGAAATCCCTGTTGAATAATATTCGGATGAGCATTATCTGCACAGAAGCTCAGAATTCACCCAAAGGAAACACTTGACGACCTTTGTGCAGGAGGTAAGACAAGAACAAACTAATTATGGCTCAGAAACTCTCAAAAATGTTCCAGGTAAGTGAGCTCAAATCTATTCTAGGTTTAATATAAACTCCAGCTATTTGGCTTGTCAATATTGGACACACATACTTGGCATATTTACATTTTTAATCTCTAACAAGAAAAGTATTTTATGGTTGAGGAATCTGTATTACAGCTTGTTTGACATGTTGAAGTTCCTTACATTCTTCAGCAGTGATAAGCTCAAACATGTAGGCCTATGTGTCCATTTCTGGAATACTGACAGAAATAACCTTCCATGGAGATTACATACGTTTTTCGGATGCAAAAATGCAAACAAGAAATCCATTTTACATTTGCAAGAAATGTATTTATAGAAACTACATTTCTGCATCTTATTTACTTAAAATAACTGGGGACTGTCTTAAGACTATAGGTGTTTTTTTGTTAATAACATGGTCTATAAATGATTTAGCGATGCAGGATGAAAATCTCTCAAAATAATGTATTTCAAAGGTTTTAAAACCAGCCAACTAAATCAGGACACAACACAAATTCACTCTCAAAGAGGAGACATTCCCCATTTGTTATCCAGTTCAGCCTCTTCCAACTTTACTCTCAGTTGTTTTATAAAATTTAACAGACCAGAAGCCTGTTAAAACCCAGCTTTGTAAATATTTGACTGAGATATCTGATTTGTCCAGCTGCTATTCTCGTCTCTGTTTATTGTTGATGATATTTTCACCTGAAACACTGATATCATTCCGTTGTTTTTCCTTCAGGAAGTTCCTGCAACTGGTCATTAATTGTTGCTAAGGGGCCGACGTTTGAGAAAAACAACCAGTGCTCTCAGCTCCAGATGCTCAAAGGAGGGAAAACAAGGTCTGATAGCACATAAAACATACACAAAACATGTGTATTTATATGTTTTTAATCGCAGCACATTTCTGCATTTCGCATTGCAGAATGTTTTGTAATATTGTCATGGGAATTGAACTGACGTCAGACTTCTTCCGTCTATTCAGGTGGTGTTTGGATTGCTGCAGGTTTTCACTTTCCTAATCAGCGCCTCTGTTCTCTCCTCCAAGTAAGGCTATCCTTCCTTCAGCCTTCCATTTCCTCATCACCTCCAGATTTCATTTCCATCACTGACTCATTTCCGAATATCTGCTGCCAGCTGTCTTCTCAACTGTATGGTGGAGCATGTTTTAGGTTGGGATATCTTGGTGATAAATTAGTCGCAACTCAAATCGACAGTGCTATCTAGGGCACAGTTGGAGTGAGACCAAAAAAATCCCAGGGTGCACTGATGGTTCACATGACTTTTTTTCGAAGACGTTTACATCAAGAAAAATACTCTTTGCATTGTGGATTTTTGATATAGTATAGTTTCAAAGGTACTACCAATACTAATTTAGGGTCATATATTTTTATGATGGCTTTATAATTATTAATAAATACAGAATCAACTAATAGTTAAAAAGGTCATTGATGGCATAAGTTTTAATATTGGTGTATATATATCTCAATGTTGCCAAAAAAGTCAGGGTGCAACGCTTTCCTACTTTCAAAGGCTATATTATTATAATTTTACACATGCTATATATTGCCATAGAATAGAATAGATTTCTGATTATAAATAGTTGTCCACACATTTACACAAACGTTATTCTTAAGTAACTAAAATCAGTCATGTTTATATGTCATACATACATGCATACACTATTGTTTCATTAAGATATATTGTTTTATTTTTTTGCATTTTCTGCTAGATTATGACCAGATTGAAATGTATTGAAAATACAGAGGAGACATCAGGCGACATGTTTTTATATCAATCATATTTATATAATTGGGCTTTAAGTTTTGTTCTTATCCATTAGAAGAGATGTGTAAATGAAATTAATTATTGAAGACAAATGTGCAGATTTGAAATGGAAATGGACATCTTAACTGACGGGTCTTATCATCAAAAGCCTGTAAAGTCAGTGGAAAATATAAAATTCCAAGAAGTTTAAAATGCAAAAATAAACCTTTGATATTTACTGTATGGGCACATTTTGACCTTGCAGCACCTGACATGTAGGAAGGGCCCAAAACTCATATCTGTCCAGGACAGTTCAACCTCGAGGCTCTGACACAGAAAAAACAGGACAGGGAAATAAACATTTTCCCAAATTTGGCAGCCAAAGTCGAACAAGTTTGGAGATATGGCGATTTTAGGGCATATTTTTAGAGCCTTTGTGAAATGTTTTAAAATGAAACAGGAAGTTGGGAAGTTTATGCCCCTGGCGCCCACCCTGCTTCCCTCTCTGAGCCAAGAAAGACATGGAGGGATAAAAGAGGGTCAGCGGGTGGCCTTCAGTAGAAGGGACACTAGTATAACTGCAACATTGTTTAATGAGTTATTTAAAATCATTTGAAGTCATATTAAGATCTGTTTACCAGTCATGAGGAGCAACTGAATGAAAACTTTTCTGGCTTTGTCTTTTTTCCTTTTTTTTATTGTGATAAACACTCTAGGATGAGACAAGTCAAAACTTAATATTAAGATTTTGGTATCAGTTAACTTTCAGCTCCCTTTTGTAGCATTTATAGGCAGTTTTACACTTTTTTTAGATGGTTTACAACCCACTATGATAATGTGGAGATTCAAGCAGTTATATTATTTAAAATGGTGTCAGTCTGTTTATCCACCAGTCATTTTCAAGATATAATAAGGACATGAACATAAGATTAATTATTTATTGTACAATATAATTACATCAGACATTCAACTTGTCATAAACACAATATAAAGTTCCAGCAGTCTTTATCAAACTATATACAGTGACAGTACAGAAGACATTCAACTTGTCATAAACACAACTTGTCATAAACACAATATAAAGTTCCAGCAGTCTTTATCAAACTATATACAGTGACATACACATTGTTTGTAGTTTTATGCGAGTGAGCGTCCCTCTTGGTGGCTGCTCTGCTGAATGTAGCTGGGATCCACTGACTCCGGCCTTTGAGGGTTTGGACCCAGGTACTGTTCGAACTCGCTGCGGTCCAGATCGTACAGCATGTCCAGCTGAACCTGCTCCAGGTAGAACTCTAGGGAGGGCCCCACAGACAACAGGCACCCGTAAACTGTGCTGGACTCCCCCTGATCCACATGTGGAGCTGCAGCGCTGGAGAAACCATACTGCATGTGCTGACCATCGAAATACCGCTGAGGTTCTGCAGGGTACGCAGGAGGGTTTGGGTACACCCCAGACTTATTTTGGAAAACGTCTGCTGCACACGTGGCTGTGTCTGGATAAGAGTTTGAGTAACTGTTGCTCAAAGGGACAAAGTTAGCTTGGGAGTTTAGGAAAGCTGGTGAGTATTGCTGCTGGTTCTGGAGCAGGTAGGTGAGGTTGTAGGACCCGGGGAAGCCTGAGCCGCAGAGCAGGGAGTGAGGAAGCTCCACACCCTGGGCTTTGGAGCTCTTCTTCGGCTGCCTCCTCCTGCGGGGCCGGTACTTGTAGTTTGGATAGTCGACAGTGTGCTGGACTCTCAGACGCTCCGCTTCCTGCATGTATGGACGCTTCTCCACCAGAGACATGGCCTTCCAAGTTTTTCCTGCAAGAACACAACGGGGTCAATGATTTGTATACTCATCGGTTTAGCAAAATGAACATATGAGCCAACATTTTATGCAACTGAGCTATTTGTAGACCCATTCAAAGCAGGATTAAAGTGGTTTTCATGATATGAGAGATGCTCTAGGCCAAATAACAAAAGAAAAATATAATGTTTTTAAGAGGTAACACTTGTTCTCCATAAGTCCATTTAACTAAAGCAACATTTTTGGTTTTCCAATACATTTCACGTTGTTTATTCAAATTCTTACCGAGTATTTTGCTCAGATCCGTGTTCTCCAGGTCTGGGTTGAGCTGTGCCAGCCGCCTGCGCTCCTCTTTGGTCCAGATGATGAAGGCGTTCAGGGGCCTTCTGACTCTCTGCTGCGTTAACAAAGACTTGACCTCGGGGCTGGCGCAGCTGGAGTCCGAGTTCACTGACAGCGGGCTGGAGGGCCCGGAGCTCGGGGAGCGCTCCTCGATCTTCAGCTCCCCGTCCACGGAGCCCGAGTCCTCGCCCTCGAACATGGCACGGTTTGCGCAAAGTTGGAAAGCGGCGGGGTCGTGGCTGAAATGCATGTTGATGCTACGGATGGTGATGATGTTTTGACTCTCCGCTGTCATACTCCTAGTGATGCAGAGGGGACCGATTTATGTGGGCGCTCCACCAATAGGAGGCCAGGAGGAGTGGATTTAAGGTGTGAATTTCAGGTGTTTTCTCAGGACGGTGATAGGCCCATCTGACGCCCCAATCAACGATAGCACGAAACTTCAGATGGAGAAGAGACGCGAGTCTGTAATAAAACTCAAATGGGCTTTTAATATAACAAAATAACATGTAATGCCCATTTAAAGCTTAAAAGACCATGAACTATTTACATTTATCCATGAAGTCTCGATTCCAAAATAAGAGAAAAACGTGTTTTCCTCTTAAACACAATAACATTGTCTATATAGTAAATGATGAAAGTCAAAGTAGGACTGAGTTTGTTTAGTCCTCCTATAATCACCAACATATTTGACTGCTCCTCTATTTCTGCGTAAATAAAAGAGTTCTTGACATTTAGGAAAAAGTCTAAGACATGTTCCTTGATTCACTTAAACCCATATTAGGGAAATCCAATGACACCTTTGGCTATCAGAGAGAAATGGAATCTAATCAATAGGTCCTGAAAGGCAGCAGGGTATAGGTGAACATCAAAGTGTCCAGGAGGCAGGGCTGGTTACTAATTACATTGTGGCTCTCGGCTCTTATCGGCCATCCACTGTCTCTCTATCAAAGTACATTTTACAGGACAGAAACAAACATGATCAATGCGTGTTTATTGCACGATTACCGCGCACAAATACTTGCCTGATACAAAAACGGATAGGTCAGGTGTGCACACAGGGGCGTGATGAGCTCACATTCAGGACTTCAAAAATACCTGCATGCAAAAAAAAAAGTTCAACGAAATAGGCTGACTGAAGCTTGGGGGTTATAACAAAGAGTATTGAAAACAGTGAACACTCCATTCAGACTCACAGAAACTGAAGCACGATGGCTGCAGCGTTTCTCTTTCAGTCCAGCATTTATTTTTAACAGATTTTCACAGATGTGTTATTTCCAAAATAACACAGCTGAAAATTACATTTTGAAAGTAACATCAACAAGTTAAATTATCATAATAATATTATTTAAATATCATAAGAAATAAAAGTGAAATAGACCATCAGTCACTCTTGAGTATACATAATGAATTATTTATATTATTGGAATGCTATAATATACATTTCTACACATATATTACTAGGGAAATTAAAAAAACATTTATTTAATATTAAAATAAACGAATTATCTTTCAGCACGTTGTTAATGGACAAATAAAGGTTTTATTTCTGGTGACACAAAGCACGAGACATGCAAAAAACTATTGTAAGTCCTTGACTTTTAAAAATACCAAAAATGTACAAGTAGACTTAGATTATTGCGGGAAAATCACATAGAAAATGATGGTAGCCTATAGACTAAAATCCATAAAACAATCAAAAATAAATAATGATAATGCGTGTATTCACCATTAATGATCTCTAGAAACTCTTAAGGTGCATGTGATCCCACTTTAATATAATAGGGTGCCATTACAGGTGCTCGCTTCTTATGGTTTCAATGCATATGTGTCACAACTAACATTAACCAGACAATAGACACCATAATGGTGACAGCGGCGACGTTAAATCTGCAATACACGGACCCACAGTTATACCTGCACCTGCCCTGCTTTGTCCCGGCAGACGAGTCACTTATGTGGTCTATTTAAATTGTAAATACTGTGTATTATGGATTAGAAGGGTTAATACACAAGGAAATGCAGGGCGAGTTTGCTTTTTTTCTGTAAGAAACCTACAGAAAGTGTCCACTGCAATGCGTAAAAGCAATGGCACAGTGAAACGGGTGCAATGTTTATTTTATATTCTTATTAGGAGCATCTTGGACTTTAACCCTGCAGTAGAAATACATCAGGCTTAGTGGATCTTGATATCTTAATTAAAAAAAAAAGATCAATACTGTGACATTCAATAACATGGTGATAAAAGCAACTGTGCTCCTCGTCTCCCTTTGACAACTGGACTTACAGTAAGCCACTTCGTATCAGCCGAAACTGATAAAGTGCCTGTGGCTTTGATGGGACGATTGTATTAAATATCTCAGGAAATCAATATTAACCTTAGAAAATTCTGATTTTCAATGTGTATTTAAAACGGAATTATTTATTCAAATAAGCCATGTATGGTTTGTTATTGTGAGGGGGGGTTGTTTTTCTTTAGGTTGTCAGAATTAGAGTTTGAATCCACATCCACGGCGTTAAACGGCACGCATGCTCCAACACGCCGTGAAAAGCACTAATGGATTTAATCAATTAGCTTGAACGACGCAGCGTGAATACAATAACGTTAGTTTCGACTGAGACTATGTGAACTGAGTCGGCTAAATATTGTTTAGGGTTAGAGGTTAATATGTGAATTCAAAGTTTGGATAATAATCATGTTTTTTTCCCCACTTCCAAACCGTTTATAACTACATTAGTGCGTCATGTGTCCTTTATTCCGGCTCTGTTGATGAATCCTAATCTATAAAGTGACAGTGAGGTATCTTACATTGTCTCATAGCCAAACAAGCAGAATGGCCACAGTACTTTCTGAATGGGGATTGTTCTCAGTGTCTTTCTGATCACAATGTGCCATTGTATTGGACAGTATATATGGGACACTCCTCTCCTTCTTCACTTTGGATCAGTGCTTGCCAAGTTGGCACAGGTGAAGAGCTGGAGAAAAACTCAGCAGGATTTACCAAGGATGATGCTCAGGGTTGGATATTGGCTGGATTTTGAGCACTTTGGGACATTTGTGAAGGAAAAGGATGCTTTGCTGTTCAGTGGAGTATATTTACCTGGACTGGAGCCTTTTTGTCAATGAAGATGCCACAACAGCTGATGAACAATTATTATGGATATATGAGGATTTGCTGACCCTGAAGACATCCACCCACCTAGAAATGAAGGAGTACAAGCCTGAGGCCTGTGGCTTGACCTCCCATAATGAAGCACTGTATGCCTCTGCCACTTCAGTGCCATCCCACCGACTTTCCTTACAGTGGCTCATTCATAGAGAGCTGCATTGTTTCATAGCCGTGAAGGTGTGAAGGGGATAAAATGACCGTGATCTTCGCAGCGAGGGACGGTACTGCATTGTTTTGTATTGTATGGGCACAGCAGGCTAGCATCAAGATACACCGTGTCAAGCCTCAGACACCATTCTATGCAGTGGCATGTCCCCCCCCTCCTCACCCCCTTGCTCCCACCTCCACTTCTTAATCAGGTGTTTGAGCAGATTCAACAGTAGACAGAAGCTATGGGTGCTAGCCTCCACACTCCCCGTGTAAACAGCGCCCTGCCCGGCCCTACGTCAGGCCAGCTGAGAGGATTACATGCCCCCCTGGAGTAGACAGGCTTATTGTAGCCTCATTAGCAGAATACAATGATGCCCCCCCCCCCCCACCTCTGAGCAGAGATAACAGCCCAGGCTCAGGCAGACTTCAAACACACACTCAAACCTGCAGGCCCAGGTAGGGCCATAGGCAGTGTGCAAACTTTAGTGTTTTATCCATCTGACATTCATTTATCAACCGCTGATCAATGTTTGTATTTACATTGTGTTTAATGTAAGGGTTTTCGGCTTTTCCCTGTTTTCACTGTAAATCTGTATTTCTTTTCGTAAATGCAAAAGCTCACATGCCTGCATGACTGAGAGAACATGGATAAAATGTGACGTAAATAGAAATACGAATATGAGAAAGTTACTTGAGAAAGTGTGAGGAAGAGAATTAGTTCAACTTCTAAGGAGGTGTCTTTTTTAATGTTAATATATTCAAGGTTAAAGACACAATTATAGCTTTTTGACAGGCATTTCATTAACCTTTCTTCTCAAAGGCAACCGACAACTGATCAGAAGTGAAAATAATTATCAGCCACAGACATGTAAACATAGTATTTTAGTCTACAAATGAATAATAATGTTCACTTGATATACAGTTCCAAAGAAAACATCCATCGAGTCTTCAGTCTGGCTCTTGAATTGTAGTCACACTTGTTTCTAATTGTATTGCATCTGTCTATCATGCAGACTGGCTAATGAGGCAAAACAGAGAGAAAGAGCACTATTCTTTGTAAATGAGGAATTGTATTCTGCTGATAAGAGTCTTATCTGAAAGAGTCTTCCAGTTGTTTTATTGTTCAGACAGCCAAGCTTTGAATGTAAGTGCCACAGCAGGCCATTTTTTTATGTTAACATTTTTGGACCCAAATATCCCCCTATGTGTAAATCTGATCCTGATCCAACACCTGATCCACACGTCTCACATCCACAGACAGAAGAAAAGACGCCTGTAATTAGCCTTAATTATTAACTGGAACTAGACTGAGACCTGTGAGACACCATGATATCTGTCTGTCTTAAACGGCTCATTCAAGCCATCAGATAACCAAAACAATCCGCTCAGCTCCATCAGCAATGCCTGGATGTTTAATTAAAAAGTGTGAACTGGTTAGACTCAGACATTAGATTATTAAGGCACAAACCAAAGATAAAATTCCTGTCCTTAAAACAGACAAACAAATCTTTTGAGCCAAAGTGAATGACTTGTTTTCTTGTAATTGATAGAGAAATACTTGATTTGATTGCTTCATTCTTTTGTGCAAACTGTCAGCAGCCACACATCCACAGAGTCGATGTTTGTGCTCACTCTTTTTCTCTCTTTCGCTCGTCTGAGACCTGATAGAAATTCAAAAGGATCTGCTGCTTTGAAGATAAGCGCTGTAGTTCTGCCATAAACAATGATTGTGCTGTTTCTTTCCTGTGTCGTGATTTATTTAAAGTATTATGCTGTAAGGATTTGGGCTGGTTTTCCTGGCAGGGCCGGCTGTGTGTATGTATCCACTACTTGTGTGGTTTATTGAATACTTGAGATTCAGGAAAACACTCAGAGAACCACAAGCAAAGCCATTAAAGCTTAACCTTTCTCCCTTATGGTAACAAATGACAAAATGTACAAATACTGTATGAAATACACATTTAAAATGAACCACAATAACTTACTTAAAGTCATTAAAATAACTCGGTTTCAATTTCGTTGTCACTTTTATTCTTACATAATTGAGAGCTGCCTGCCTGGCAGAGTGGACTTTGTATAGAAACACAATGCTTGTGGTCTTGCACACACACACACAAACATATGCTTCCTTTGATAAAGTGTTTTTATACCAGCAGAAATTCTATGGCAGCGTCCCTTAAGACAATATCTGCGTAAAATACCAAGTTATATATAGCGACTGTGCCATTTTGACTTCAAAAAATAAACATGAGCGTAATGGAGTTTAAACACAAGGGAACAATTATCCAGTCCCAAACCTACGAGTGTATTCTGGTACAGGCAGGGTGCAAATGGCCCTTAAGTGTTGATTGTAATATCTCAAAATCTTAATGAGTTTCTGCATTTCAATAAACTGGCTTTCATTTTAAACGACTGTAAACAGTGAAAGTGTGACGGTGGGTGAAAGTAATAAATACCACATCTAGATTTAATTACAGTGAAATCAAAGTATCCATGGCATTTTCATGTCTTAACGGGGGAAAAGTTGTATATGTGTTTGCCTGTGATTGTATTCCAAGAGGATGGAGAGGGGTCTTTTGAACGTCCACACCAGGATACAGCTGCCTATGACTAATTTCAAACTCCCCTTCTAGGGCCGAGGCAACCCATTTCACAAGAAACACACATCACCAGGCATCTGTTTCCTGTTTTCATTCTTTGAGTTATCTTATTTTCCTTATTTCCCCCTCACCTGTTACATTTCACGTTCCTTCCATCATGCCGCACGAGCCCGTTGAAACAAGGCCTTCGGACGTCAGAATACACTCATTCATGTAGTCATGTCTTAGTAGTCAAAAGATAAATTCCTTTTAATGAGATGACAAAACAAATTAAAATATAGTTCAAGATTGAATTTAAAAAGACAAGACTTCTTAATCTTTTTCCACATTTTTTAATAGAAAATGGAAACAACATTTCTTACACATTTTCAACAACCAAACCTCAGTCATTTTCAGATTTTCACCATGAGATACTGTACAATCATATATCTCCTTATGAGCGGTAATACTTCAGAAGTTTCTCATCAGTTGGTTTCAGAATCTTTTTCTCCGCCATGTTAACGACCCAGCCTGGAGCAAGGCCAAAGAAGATCTGTCGAACATCCTTCCTCATGGCGAGCATGTGATACAGTTCATCCTTTGAAATGTCTGGCAAAATGTATCCATACTTCTGTGCCAGGGCTAGCCGGGCCTGCTGGATTTTCTCCGGGTCTGCCAAGTAACCTCTGTTTTCAGCATCTGTGTAAAAGGGAACCATATCCTGCCCTGGTAACATGCGCTTTGGAATGGGCTGCCCACGCAAGAAGAAGGGTACAGGCTTGATGAGAATACCTGCAGGAAAATAGAATATATTTTAAGGCTTTTTATCTAAACAATCTTCCTGTTATATTATGGATGGATAGAGACTGTTTTATTAGTTACCAAGACTTATAGGATCATAGAAACCAGTCGTTATGACCCCTCCGTTCCTCTCAATAGCAGCTATAGCTCCTTCAGATGCTCTCTGAACTTCAATGTTGATTTTTGCAGCGAATCTGTCAGCACCCTGGAACAGAAAAAGCACTTAATATGTGGCACTTCTAGCAGAACAGGGAACAAAAGACATGGGTCGAAAAAAACAACATCTTGATCTGTGACATTGACACTACTGTTATATGGTGCCACCTACTGGCGCAAGATGATCCAGACAGGGTTCATACACTTTTTCACCAATGATTTTCAATGACTTTTCCATGACCTTTACCTAATTTTCCATTACTCTTTCTCAGCGGTACCACTGAAAATGGTTTATTTTAACATGGAACAGGAAAATAAGGTCTGCATATGAAACATGTTGTGCCTATCTAAAACAAATCCAATAGTAGGCTTACTAGCTTCTACAGGCTAAAGCAACTAAAATCTCTCACCGGCAAAATACCTCGACAGTTAAATGCCTAACCTTTTACGTTTCATTACTATACGATACAGTATTTATTATCATTATAGTATTACTATTTCGGCGATTAGATAAAATATAAATTATATTTGATGCAACTTTAGTTACATTTCCATGACTTTTCCAAAACTTTGGGAAAAATATTGTTTTCCATAACTTTTCCAGGGCCTGGAATTAGCATTTTGAATTTCCATGACTTTTCCAGGTTTTTAATGACCGTAAGAACCCTGTCCAGAGCCACACTTTGAACCCTTTTATTACTTACATCGCAGTGGTTGTTTACCAAACTTGCATAGGAGTCAATGTTTTATAAAAAAAAGTTGAAATGTTTTTTCTCTCCTGAAATCTATGGTTTGCTGTCAGCATCAGGTACTTTCTTTGTAGTTGTGTAGAATGTGTTTGATGTATAGAAAATACTGTATGCATGGTACAGCTATACCCCTCACATAATTGGATTTTACACTGCGTATAGTACCGCATCAGTGTGGGCAGGTTATTAGCTGTTTGTCACTTGAAATAGATATGTAAACAGGAGACTTGCTGAAACTGTCATTGGCAACCAAACAAAAGAAACAGATGGGAATACCATTGACAGTTTAGGTTTAAAAACGCCGTGTGTGCAGGATGTCCTGTGACGTGGCAATTAGTAGTTGACCTGGGATTTCTCTAATAATGCTTCTCCCATTGATACTATGACCTGAAGAGACAATTGTGTAACTGATAAGTGTTATTTAAACATTGGAGGAGAGAAAACAGCTGCCTATGTGTCTTTTTATTAATGCTTGGAGCAAACAACTCAATGCTCAATGAGAAATTACCTCATCAACAAGCTGGACTCCATAGTCCCTCTTCAGAGGCTGGATTGTTATCCCTCTGCCGTTCACTAGCTGGGTCAGGTCTATGGGCTGGGAAGGGTCCACACGGCCCAGATCAATCAGGTACTGCAGTCGTTTCAATGACAAAGGTTGGTACTGAGGACGCAGACTGTGGACGACACACAAATATGACATTTATTGGTTGAAATTATTTGAGATAATCTGAATCTTGACACAAATAACAAATAGTATAACAAATAATCCATGCAACACATTCTGTATAATTGCAGCATTAAGCAGCAACAACATTTACAGTATACCACATTTATACTGGCCTTGTGTAGGATTTGGGGGTATTAATATGCATTTCTACCAGATGCACTACTATGATTATCCATGTAAATCTAGTTATGAATCCTTGTGAGAGAAATGTGTTACAATTCTTTACAGACGCATTTCAATGACATAAAATCTATGATCTATGAAAACCTTGACTGTAACTTGTTTACCTGTGTCCTTCATTGTAGCCATATTTTGGAATGGAGAGATAAAAAGGAGTGTTACCCCCTTCAAATCCCAGCCGAGGCCGGTTGCCTCTCTGTCGCTGTCCTTTATGTCCTCGGCCGCTTCTGTTGCCACCATCCTGTCCTCTGCCCAGACGTTTATCCTACAATTAAAAAACAAATGCAAGGGTTTTAGCTAGCTAGCAAATGTATCATCCTATCAAAACAACTGACATATTAGCATTCATCTCCACTGCCAAAACCGGCTAACTAGCTACGTTAGCTAGAGCAGCTGCAAAATATAGCCTAAATACTGATTGAACATTAAAACTTACCGCCCTAAAAGATCCTGGCTCAGGCCGCAAGTTTGCTAAAGTTATCCGCGGGAGATTTTTCAAAATATCTAACGCTTTACCAGGTTTTTTAGGGAAAGACATGTTTCTTTTCCTCACATGTCACTAGTTGCCAAACCAAGGACATATAGGTCATGTGACTGACTTGAGCGGAAGTGCTTCACGTGGCAGATCCAAATTTCAAAATAAAAGGGCAACAGTCAAAATGTGCTACATAAACAGTTGTGTCGTAAAGCATTTTAAGCGGTATTTTATGGTTGGTGAATGTCACTACATATTGGTAACATAGAGGTAGAGAAAAAATACTTGTTTAAAGTTTAATGGGTAAACAGAACAAATAAAACAACACATTTAAGCCCTAACAATTGTGTCAAAGGTCACGACGTGTTTTCTTGTTAAATGTTTATATCACCATTGAATATTGTTCAAATATGATGCTTGTATTGTTTTGTAATCTTAACAAACTGTATTTATTTCTGAGTTGTCGAGTTGTGGTTTGTTGTTATTTCTATGCGAATTAACCTTTATTTAAGTAGCATTGATTGACATTTTTACTAACCAATCGGTGCTCTAAATCGGCAAGGAACTGCTGCTGACAGCCAATCACGAAGTGGAGGGGGCGGGTCTACAACGCATGTCAGTGCAGGTGGTGAGTAGTGTAATTCGGCGGTGTATTATTTTCAACAAAATTCAACTTCTTGAAATAAATGTACCACTGCCAGTAGAAATACGAGGCGGCGGTACCTTGACTTTCATCCTGGGTTCGAGATTTGCCCCTAAACTGTTTGTTGTTTGACAGCCAGAATCGGACAAAGCTCGACACAGATTGACAGGAGGGGATATCGTTATTAGCTTACGCGGTAGCTAACTTGTCTCTTCATATCAGCTGCCTCAGCGCTGTATGTGCGGCAATAGTATGTCAGCGCCTTTACCTGCCATTGTGCCTGCTGCCCGGAAAGCTACTGCGGCGGTGAGTTAACCAGGGAACATTTGCTAACGCTAAGCTAGTTGAAGTTCAACCTAAAGCAACTGTGGGCTCCAATAACTACTCAACTGGTTACATGTAAAAATGCCATCACGTTCTGACATGCCTTAACTTATTCTAACGGTTACCTTCTCTGTTTCTTTACAGGTGATATTCCTGCATGGACTTGGTGATACAGGGTATGTGAAGACAGCCTTTTTTTGTACTCTTGTTGTGCAACAATACTATTGCTGGTCTCTCATAAATACTTTTAGTCAAACTAGTTTAATTTTGTCCCATTTGACAGACATGGCTGGGCAGAAGGTTTTGCTGGTATCAGGATACCACATGTGAAATACATCTGTCCACATGCGTAAGTTTATACAGCATCTATAACATTGCACAATCCTGAATGTCTTATCATCCACTATTATAAATGGTGTAAAAATCACCTTGTTTACTATCGTTTGCCAGAGAATTATTGTCATGTTAAATGATGTTAAGCCAAACTGTGATGTTACTTTTCTCCATTGTTTACAGTCCCACCATGCCAGTTTCTTTGAACATGAGAATGTCCATGCCATCTTGGTAAGTGTCAGAGTATTTGAACATATGTGTGCCATCTTCACATACACAATGAGCCTCACATGATTTCTCTCATGTGTAGGTTTGATATCTATGGATTGAACCCAGATGCAAATGAAGATGAGGCTGGTATAAAAAGAGCGTCAGAGAACAGTAAGTCTTTCAATTTCATTTTATAATAAGTCGTTAGGAATGTGCTGCTATTTTGTTTGAGTTGCATAAGAGCTTGTTAACGGATGCCGGTATGAAGCAAGTGTTTTTGTTAATGTATCCACAGTTAAAGCCTTGATAGACCAAGAAGTGAAGAATGGAATTCCTTCACACAGAATTCTCCTGGGTGGATTTTCACAGGTAAGTGTGGCATGTACGCAGATGATGCGTTACATAACACTTAATGATTCACTGGTTATGCATATAATGTATTCAATAAAACACATTCAGAAGATATTCTCACATAATTACGTTTATGTTTTGTCATTTATTGCACGTACTTAAGCTGCAGAGTCTTGAAAAATACATATTTTACAGTAACTTGCACATTTTAATAAATAGAATATTTGTAACCCCGATGTCAAGAATGTGCTACTTTCTCTAAAATGTACATGTTTAAAGGCGTTATACTATATATAAATATGTAGGGGTGTCAGTAGTCAGATTATTAATATTATCACAACTAAGATTATTTTGTGTGTTGTTTTCTTCTTTCCAGGGTGGAGCGTTGTCACTCTACACGGCTTTGACGACTCAGCAGAAGCTAGCCGGAGTGGTCGCTCTCAGCTGCTGGCTCCCTCTGCGCAAGTCCTTCCCTCAGGTAGACAAAGATTAATTTAGAGGTTTTCAGTGATTCAGTAAACACGACAACAGAAGCTTTTGGTCGGTTCACACAAAGCGCAAAACAATAAATAATAATAATAATGTTGCTGCTGTATTTATGCCTAATTTAGACAAGGCGGCTTTTGGTGCAGCTATAATGTTAGTATATCCCTGATCAATGTGAACAGCATTCCCGAAACAATCATTTTGTTTGCTTGTTGTCTTGATGACAGACCGGACACAGCATGAATTCAGACTTTTTACAAAATGGGATCATGTTGTAGTTATTCATGACATCCTTTAGTTTAGTAATCCCACAGTCAAATTTGCTTTGCGTTGGATGCAAATACAGCATTAGAGAAATGTTAATGTCAAATTATTGACGTTCCCCACTTCTTTTAATTGCTCAAAAACAAAGGTGAAATACCCCAGTAGTTAATTTTATAGTGAATTTCTGTTTAATTGTACTAGGAATATCCCAACATCTTTCATAATAAGATGATAACAATATTATTCATCTCTTCTGTTCACAGGCATCTGCCAGTTGTCCTAACAAGGACATGCACGTCCTTCAGTGCCACGGGGACGCCGACCCCGTGGTTCCCTTTATGTTTGGCAGCCAGACAGCAGAGAAGATGAAGAGCCTCGTCAATCCAGCCAACATCACCTTCAAGTCGTATCGGGGTCTACCTCACAGCGCCTGTCCAGAGGTCAGTGTGGGGAAAGCCACATTTTACTCAGAGGCTCCGGTTCTATACTGAATATATTTAATTTGATTCTGTATGTGTGCAGGAAATGGTGGATGTGAAACGATTCATAGAGAAGCAGCTTCCAGCCATCGGCGATGAATGATCTTGGAGCTGCACAGCACCGTCCGAGTCCTTCGGGTTTGACTCCTCGGACTCCCTGAACCACTTTCTACTTGACAATAAACCACGCTGCTACTCATAGAGCCGGACCGGACTGGGGCTCCATGTTAACCCGGGAGAGACTGATAACGAAAAACAATGCTGTATCCTGACTTGGTGCCACACACAACCCTCAGTGTTAGAGTAACTTTAGTTGCTTGATTGTAAAGCTATGCCATTAAGACAAGCCATTTCCTGCAGGAAACACATGTACTGGAATAACTAGGGCTATACTTTATGGTTTAATTCCTAATATCTCACAATAAATGGCTTGTTGTTAAATGCTCTTTTTTTTGTGTAGTAGTGCTGAAGCAAGTTATTAGTTGATAAAGAAATATAACAAATTTACTAGATAAAAACGCCTCCAGATTTGCTTTTTAAAAATATAAATATATTTTAAATATGCTATGTTGGTGTTTTTGGATTTGTCTTAAAGGCTAAACAATTATGTAAAAACAATAATCGACAGTTCATGTTTTTGCACCCATAATTAGTTACAAAAATCTAAACAAAGCATTTTCAGAGAAAACATTTTTTTTAAGGCAGCCTTATATGCAATCCACATAGGAATTTTTTTTGTAATTTATAGTACCATATGTTGAAAACACACAACTGCAAAAAACAACATACGATTGTGCTTTATTTAATTTGTGAGAATTAAAATATCTATTTTGCACAAATATCTTTTAAAATACACAAATATATCAGTGGTCATGGTCATGTATTTCAGTTTGTTTAAATTAAACATAATATGACTAATATCACAGTATTGAAACACACAGACAAGATCTATTTCCGGTTCTCAGCTCATCGAGTTGTATAAACTTTTTTTCTTTGAGAAGAGCTGAAAGCACCAACATATGAAGTCATTGTCGCACCATCCACGTTAGACCAAAGGTGCTAGTGTAGAAGATCTTATTCCAAGGCACTTTCCTTCTTCATAAGTTACTGTTAAATAAAACCTAGTAGTTTCTATAAGAACTGGATATGCATTAAGGCTCACAATATACCTAAATACAAATGCAGTGCTCACAGATGCATGCTTTCCCTCATTAAACAAGGTAGAAAAGTGCAATGTCAAGCTAGGGAATATATAAAAATATAGATATGTTTTCTAACAAGTAACTGATGCTGAAGCATTTGTTCTTGTTTGCTCCGAGTATTTTGGTAAGCTAATCATGGGTAAATAAACCGCACTTAACAGCTGGGTGACGACCGGTTTTAAGAAGTGGTCATTTTCCTGTCTGTCTTTCTCTAAATAGCGGTACTCCAACAGGAACACAGAACTCCTTCGGGTGGGACGCATGCGCCATTTTCAAAAGCTAAGTGTGTGTCAGTGGTGGGTCTATGGCTCGGGGGGAGGCTCCTCCAGGCTCTTCAGCAGATCTGTGTACGCAGTTGAGTTCATGTAGCGAGGGTATGAGTCTCTCTGCATCAGCGTGTAGATCTGCTGCTGCGCGTCGTCGAACGTGTGCGAGGTGGGCTCCAGCATGTTGCGGTTTATCACTTCTCGAACACGTGAGTCCAAACTGACCTGGAGAAGATGAGCAGGTAAAAGATTGAAGCACTGATTCATGTCATTACACGATTTAGAGCTAACATGATTGATTGAACATATTTATCTTATAGTTGATTAACAGAAAATGCAGGGTGTATACGCACCGTTTCTGCCTAGCTCCTTAAAAATGAAACCATTTTCTATTGCATCAGTCACTAGCATTTATGAGCAACAACCTGTTTATTCTTTTGCCAACAAGGCAGAAAAGCCTGTCTCCTCCAGAACAGCAAATGAAATATACCCAACTTAGTGCTTGTTGTCACATTAAGGAGGGGAAACAGAAATGTGGTTTTACTGACTCCAAGAACACTCATACCAAACTAGTTTTGAACTGAAAAAGCTGTGTTTTTTATATAAAATATGTGCACTGCTCGATAAATCCCCTGTATAAACTTTATACTGCAAAATAAATGTATGTATGTGCAGAGCAACAAAAACAGCTTTTCAGATAAGCGCTATTTCCCAAAATGTCCAACTATAACCTTTGATGAGACAAATAAGTGATTTAATAAACTGTCTTGTGTTCTGGGAAGTAATAAGAGGATTTATTTTCCAAATGTCTTGTATGACATTGTATGGACAAAACAAATTAACACAAGGTTATTAATCAAGAAAATAACAGTTACAGTAGTTTAGATAATGTCTTTAAATTTGCTTTTTATTCCTCGACCCCCAAAATCTTAACAGAACATTTAAGATGTTTTCATTAGTTGATGATTTATTTTTCTGTTGTTCCACTAAACAATAACTCTTTCAAAAACATGCCAGCACTATAATCGCTGTAGTCACACCAACTCACCTCTTTAGGGGACAGGATTGAGATGAAGTCTTCGTATATCTGACGGACTTTCTCCTCCACCACAGTCTTGTTGGTCTCCTTTTTGAGCTCCTCGCAGGTGAGCCAGAACATCATGTTCTCCTCGCTGAACTCCGTCCTCAGGAACTGCCTGAAGCAGCCGCGGCCCGCTGCACTCTTCATCACCTTTTCAAACGACATGGGCCAGGAGCTAGCGTCTTCCAGAGTGGGCTTCGGGCTAAAACATAAAATAATAGATCTGTTGGTTCACTGTTATTTAATTCTCTCTCACACAAAAGGTTCACAGTGTTTAACCATTACCTTTCTTCACAATTGTTGGTTCCCTCTGTCCTGCGCTCAAAAGTGGACCTCTGTATTGTCTCGTCCTCACTCCTAACAGTCAAACTGGAAAAACAAAACAGAAAATAAGGCCATAAATAGCTTCTCATCCAGTTTTGAAACTGCAGCCAACATTTAAATAACTCTCGATTCCTTTAATGTCAGCCTACCTTACTAAAAATAATATAGTTCTGTGAAATCATACCTGTCAAAGCTCAGTAGGCCATTTCTAGCAGTTCATTGTACAAGCTATGTGACTGGACCATAGACTGTATATATAAAGGGACTGGACACATGTTTTTTTAAATGATCTCTATCAGATTGTGCTACAGCGACATTTGACGCACATCTGAAATTTGATTGTAAAATGTAGCATTGCATTCCTCTTCCTAGGAAAAGTGTGCGATTTTAAATACCTATAATAATTTTCTCGCCAAGAGATAGATTGATACAACTCTCATATCTGTACGTCAAATATAAAGGCACAGTTAGCGGATAGTTAGCTTAGCTTAGTTTAGCTTAAATACTGGGAAAGGGGTTTACAGCTAGCCTGGCTTTGTCCAAATATACCAAAAAAATGCCAATTATCAACTTTAAACGTCAGACAGGTATCACAAAATATTGTATTTGTTAACTCCATACAAAAACTGTAAAGTAAAAATAAGATTGTTTTTTTTATCGCACTGTAGGCCTATTATATATCTCTGAATCGGGTGCCTTTTGGGTCTTTACATTTTTGAAAAATGAAACTAAATTTTTTGCATTTTTGATCATAATATCTGGTACTGGAATACTTAAAACTTTGAGAAAACAAATGTTCCCACCTCAGGCACAAAATATATATAATTACTACAGTAGGAATTTCCTTGAAAAGATGTGACGGGGTTGAAGTTTTTGGCAAAAATAGCCATGAGACCTTGTTTAGTATAAGACAGCACATGGAATTTAAGGACATCATAAAATTGTAATATTTTGCAAAACTATTGTTTAATTTTTCCTAAATAATTGTTTACTATAAGTAATTCATACAACAGAGTTGAAATGTTGAGCTTGACAATCTCAATCTGACAATAAAAAAATGAAATATAGGTAAGAAAAGGCACTGACACAATTCTGTGATGTCACTCCCTCAATGCAGATGTCACATGGACTGATCCATTATTTTAATAGGGGGGTAAAATGTATAGCGTGACAGGGTTGAAACAAACTGGGGGACGAGTGTCAATAGTGCAATTTCATAGATAATTCATGTATATTTTCAGATTTTTTTTTCTCAGTTAAAGTACACACGCATTATGATTATATTAGCATCAAAATGTTGGTATAATTGGCAATTGTTATTTGTTTAATATTCAATGAATATGTGATGATGCTCAGTGTGGACATGCAAAAATGTGTGTTGTCTACTACAAAGACAACTAATTATTATAAAACAAAAACTATATATATATATTTAGTTTTACATTGTAATGCAAAACACCCTGTTCCTTTAATTCAGTGCTTTAAAAATACATGTTGTAGTTTCCTTTCATTTAAAATCTTTGAAGTAAGCTTGGGGGACACAAAGGGCACCCGATTCAGAGAATCACCTTATCGCTGCAGTTGCCAGGAAGAATAACTTGGCTAGCAATACAATAGTATATCTCCATTTTGTATATTTACTGCAGGCCTAGTATACAGTACCATACTGGAGGGACTGCATTTTGTTTGTGCGACATTTGAAATAAAAGAACACCTACAGTAGATTCAGGAAGCTCTGCTGGGAACCTTTGCATAAATAGTAAAATGATAAACTGTCCACATCGTCCTGTAGGGATTACCTATGCGTAATTAAAATGTTCCCATCACCTGATGTAGCATCTGGCTGTACACTAATTGGCTCAGATGAGAGTCTGCTGTGAACCCCCCACCCCACCCCCCCTCTGGGAACCTGTTTGTAGCTGTGCAACAATCAGACGCAATTGATATACATTACTCATCCCCAGTGGAGTGATTTAACACAGCACACAACAGGTTGGCTGTCCTCAGAGGAAGCACAAGAGTACGTTGGACAATTCAAAACATGTTATACCCCCTGAGGCCTCCGTCCAATGAGATCCAGCGTGGGTCACAGGACCACTGTGTTCCTGTTTTTCTGGGATGGTGGTGTGGGATGGTGTTATTGAATGGGTGGGAGGATGGAGGCAGAGGAAGTCGTCTCCACTACTGAGCTGGTACTGTTTAATGAGGCCAGGAGGGACATCTTAGTAAAATGATGCAGTTTGCTGATGCTGTGTCCAGTTACATTTAGTGTGTCACAGGTCTCATGTGTGGTTTTCCACTGGACTTAAAAAACAACAACATACAAGTTACGAGTCTGTTTGCAAACATGTTGAAGTGACAAGATTTGATATGAAGGAAACCTTACTTGGATAGGTTTTGTCTCCTGCAGTATACTTCTAAACAACACACCCTTTGGATTGCATGAATATAAAGTTAAACATATTTTCAATATAAATAAAACTTCTAAAGCCCACACATTCTAAAACATTTAAGTATGGCAGGCATGACAGGAAATGTATGTCTAAGAACAAAACATTTTTCAAAACA